CTGTGACAGCCAGGAATAATCTCATCCATACCTTCCATCTCCTCACCAGCAAAAGGCCAGAGAAGTACACTGCCAACAGGCACAGTCTACCCAGTGTCCAGTACACCCAGGACAGCCAGCTGAGGTTCCTGTCTGAACCCCCACTCAGCTGAGATTTCATTCACAGCTGACCCCCGAGGTCGCGCAAACAAAAATCAAAATAGGTGATCCAAGACACTCACCCTGGTCTATGAGAAAAATCAAATTCAAGCAATAAAGTAGTGCAGGGTGCCCCAACACATCATGGGGGGAAGAAAGGGGAAAAGGAAGGATCATCTAGTCCAGCAACTTTCAAACACTTTACTACAAACCACCTATCTCACACGGTACAAGTACACAACTGCACGTATACATGGAACATGTGTACTGTTTCTGTCCACTTTTTCCTGGATGCTGGATGTGATTTACCAAGTGCCTTCACAGCCCATCAATGGGCCTGGCTGGAGGGCCAGCCTGGCAATGGTAAGAGGAGAGCTCTTGATTTCCACTGCTGGTTGATCACCATCCCTTTTTCACCAGAATGTGGCTCTACAAGCCTTTTCAACACCATGGTCCAGGGAGCTTGCTAGAACCAGCTAGCATCAGGGATGATACCAATTTATTACTAGCCTTGATCTGACCCCAAGGTCTCATTTTACAAAAATAATCATCATTTCCTGAGGCTCTGCGAGGGGGGAAAAAAAAAAATAAAGTTCTCTGTCCAAGGTCACACAGTTAAGACCTTGGGATGACTAGGGCTCCTGAGTACCCACAAAGCCACCTTACATCATTGGAGACAAGAGATAGAACTGACATAAAACATGAGAAGATCATGGAAACCACTAAAATTCTCCTTAGGATCGTGAAAAGTCAGCTTGTCCATCTACCTCCATGGAACAGGGCAAGGAAGTCCCCGTCATCCACCAAGAAGATGTAAAGACGCTGAGTGGAAGCCTCTTGCCAAGAGCTGTGTCAAAGGTAGAGAAGAAAGTATAGCTGACAACGGAGTTTAAAACTGTTTCTCAAAGGAAAACAAGCTATGGACTATTTAGCTACTAAGCGTAGCAAGCGGTCAGCCTTACACTGATCAAGCCATCTTTGTGGCTTTCCTGTCAAAGTAAGAACTCTTATTCCAGTTGTGCAGGCTGAAAGTAGAAGTAAAGTCCAAAGTCAAGCTCTAAAAAGCTGGCTCATGAAATTTCAAATCTTATTAGAAAAAAAAAATTTAATTAAAAAAAATCTCCTTAGGCAGAAAAGTAAAACATTAACTAATAAGAGTCTCCACTGTGAAACTGAGCATAAATAATCTTTGACCAAAATAATTCAGGCCATCATCAAATTACCACCCCTCAAGTCTCATTTGCCCAATCTTTTGCCCGATATTGTAAGAGACTTTGGGTTCATACAAATTAGCTCCTCTACCTATTTCTGGTGACGCTTTTATCTGAAAGAGGAGGGAAAAGAGCAAAGGCTCAGGTGAAACCTCCATCCAGAGACAGCAATGAAAACAAAAGGAGAAAAGTCGGTGAATGGAATCATTCTATCTCATGTACATATGTGAAAATGCAACCAGGTAAACGGAGGTTGGGAGAGATGCGGGGGAGAATAATGAAAGAGATGACATTAATCAAAATGCATTCTACTCACAAACTGACATGTTGAGCAGAAACCCCTTGTACAACTACTTAAAGATAATGCAAAGTAAAATAAAATAATTAAAAAGAAACAAAAGAAAAGTAGCCCCACCCCCAACAGGACCATCATGCCCTTCTATTTCCTTTACAATAAACATGACAAGAATAACCAATTCTGCAAGGGGAGTGGGGGAGACAGGTCTACAGAAACAGAAACGATGTTCAATTTCAAGCCCTGGGTTCTTCTCAAACCATAGACAACAGGACAAAATTTCAACACAATAGAACGAAGAATTCTGAGTTGTGTGTCAGTAAATTCCAGGCCACACAAAGAGACATGCTGCAATATTTTTATTCCTTGCACCAGAAATAACCTGTTATCTGCAACCCTGACTTTTGCTCAGTTCCCTACCCCCATCCAACTATCCCATGTTCAGTCCTTCATCACTGCTAAACTTGAGCCTACTACCTCATGGGGCCTCTAGAGCCCCTTGGAAATTATAAATTCCTTGACCGTCCTAGGCTTCGGCCTAAATAATTTAACAGGAAAAAAAATTTTAATTATGCTACTTAAAAAAAAAAAAACCTCATTCCATATATGTCAGAATGTAGCCAGTCAGCCCTGAAGGATTTCGTTACTAAAAAAATAAAATAAAATAAAATCTCCCAAATGCAATGAAAGATGGGGACCGTCAAAACTGTGCCATTATCAAATCTATTTCATAGAACTGGTATCCCTTTAGAAACTCAATTTCCATCAATCAGGACTGGGAAGCTATGGACTAAGACCAAGACTGAGCACAGGGGGCCTGGGGGCTTCCATCCTGGTACAAAATGCCCACCCATTATCTTACCATCCCTTGTCCCACAGAATCTACCCAGAAAATACTACCAATATTCTCCTTTGGAGACAAAAAAAAAAAGAACTTTTTCTTTTTTTAAATGGTTCGAAATCCCCAGCAATTTCAATCAGACCCTAATTTCTCACAAATTGCCCTTGCTCTTTGGATAGAAACCTCACTTTCAGCTGTCAAATTTCAATTCAGTGTGTGTCTTCCAAAAATTTTTATTTTGCTTCTTTTTTTTGTTTCACCTTTGTTTGATTCATTTTAAGGCCAAAAATTCCACATGAAATATTGTCTCTACAGATGCATTCATATTCCAAAGGGTTGGGCTTTTGTTTGTGTTTTGATTCGATTTTTTTCTTTTAAAAAAATAATAAATTGTGCTGCTAGAATCAGCTGAATTGGTTTCTCATCCCATTTCTTCAGCAAAATGTTCTACCAGGAAAGATGGTTAAAAAAAAAAAAATCAGAATTTTTAGCTTTCTTCCCTTTCCTCCTTTCATCTTTTTTCTTGTTAGGTCAGTAAAATTTGTGCTTTTTTCTTCTTTTTTTTTTTTTTGGGGATCATACTTCCTCTACCCCCACCCCCCCACAAACACACACACACAAAAAAAAAAAATGATACAGGCTAATGAATTTTCTTCTCGCTTTCAAAATCAAAAAAAAATTTCTCCTGAAAAATACCAAATGTTAATAAATTACCAACCCCACATCACAATCAAAGAGGCCTTGAAACCAATCTGAATTCTTAAAAATCATCATCATAATGATAAAATTTTCAAACTGGAAAAGTGAAAAAGACAGAAAAGGGGAATTTTTCTTCCTTACCAAGGATTCTTCAAACCTGTCTTCATCAATTGATTCTGTTGCTTGTCATTAAAAAAAAAAAAAAAAAATGGGCTTCGGTGAGCCCACTGTTAGTTTTCTCATAGTAATGTTAATTATGCATATCTTATTTTAATGGCGGTCTCCCCTACAAATCTGTGGGCTACTCAATTTGTATAATATATAAATTGACAATTTTTTCCTTCTATACTGAATATGGCCTAAAGAATATTCCTGACATTTTCTGGGAGGAAAAAAAAACCAACAACAAAAAAGAAATGCCTAGACCTTTCAGGAAACAAAATCAGAAAACAGTCATAATTATTACATCAAAACAAAAAAATAAATTCACACACAAAACCCTATCAATACAGAAAAAAAAGAAAGACAGGATTTCACTCCAACTTTTTCAGTTTCTAGTTTTTCTTTAGAATCTTAGATTTAAATGTAAAATGCAAATACAAAATTAAAAAAAAACACCCTACAATTTCTGGGTGTGTCCAAAGCCAACATTTTAAGGTCTATTTTCTCTTTTAAATCCTTCCTCCTTGGAAATGGAAAAACTTTAAATATTGCCAAATGGTAAAATTAGACATTTTTTTTTGCCCACTGAGCTAACCAACTTCCAAATTGCAATGAAGTACAATTTCTAATTGCTTCATAAAGCCAATTCTCCCAGTTTTCCCTGAAGTCCACAACTTCTCTCCTTTCCTCATTCCAATTAGTTTTTTTTTTCTTTTCTGAAACTAAAATGAGTCGGGGAACCAAACTGACTTTGCTTTTGGGGGGGAGGGGGGTTTTCAAACCTTGTCTCCTTCCAAGATCTGAATTCATTCAAATTCCAGTATAATTTTCATTTACATATCATTGGGGTTTGCCTTCAGAAATAAAAATTATTTCCAGGACCCTGCAAAGCTCAAAGTGAAAATTTTCACACCAAAAATAAAGGAGGGTGGGAAAAGAATTCTTGACCCCTTTCATTGCCCTGCAGGGCAAACTTTTGAAAAAATAAGAAATAAAAAAAAAATATTTCAATTTTAATTTCTTTTTTTTATTTACAAAATAGTATCCTCTAGGTGGCGTCGTTTTAATGGGAAAAAACTACCGTTTGAAGAAAAATTAGAAAAAAAAATTGAGAAAAAGGAAATATGGCCTAAAAAAAAAAAAAAAAAAAGATTGTTGCAAAGATGGGGGGCCTGGGAGGGGGGATCTCTCAGGGAGGGGGCTCAGCGGGGGCCTGGACGCAGAGACGGCCAGGGGTGGGGGAATCGCAAATTTGGGGGGGAGGAGGGAAGAGCTGGAAGGGGTTACATTTTTGCAAAATGTGAATTGTCCAAACTGAAATGGCTGCTCTGTTCTCTCGCTGCTTTGTTTTCTGGGCTCCAGTCCGAGCCCGGGGCTTCAGGGGGCGCCGGGTGAGGGGGTCCCCCCAAGATCCTCCCTCCTCACCGCCCCCTCCCTCCTCCCACCCCGCAGCTCCCGGTGGCAAGGGGTACGGGGGGGCTTCCCCGAACCCCGGACCCTCTCGTTTGTGCCCACAAAAAGCCCCCACGAACGTGCCGGGCACTTTGCATCCCACCGAGCCGGCGCTCTCCGGCGGGCCCCCCCGGGCCCCCCCGGGGGTCTCCCCCTGCGCCCCCGGCCCCGCGCGCCGAGCTGCCCCCGGCCCCCCGCGTACCTGCGGAGCCGCCGCGCCGCCCGGCTGGCTCATGGGTCCGAGCGGGAGGAGGCGGCCCGGCGCGTCTGCTGCTCCGGGCCGGGCTGCGCCGCGCCGCGCGCACAATGCCCGAGCCGCCGCCGTCGCCGCCGCCGCCGCTGCCGCCGCCGCCGCCGCCGCTCCCTCCTCCGCCCGCCCCGCTCGGGCCCGGGAGGTGGGGGGGGCGGGGGCCAGGGGCGCGCAGCCCCCACCCCGGCCCGCGCCGCCGCCCAGCCGCCCCTCGCGGGCGGACGCCCCCCCCCCCCGCGCCCCGCGCCGCCCCGCGCCCCCCTCCCACCCCACCCCCCCGCAACGGGCCTCGGCCTCGGCCTGCGCTGCACACAAAGCCGCTGGACCTCCCGAGGAGGGGCAGGGGCCCCCCAAAAACTTTTCCGCGCCCGTGTGCCCCCCCACCCCAGCCCCCTCAGAAATGCCATTTGCCCCTTGAGGTGGGGGCAGGGGGGGAAGTTTGGGGAGATATTGGATGGGACGCAAAGGGTTAAGGGGGACTGTTTTACCCCCCCCCCCCACCCACCCCCAGAATAAAATCAGATTGCCCTTTTTAAATAAAAGTTTTGAAGAGAGGCCTTATGGAGGAAGGGGACCCCTGCTCTACCTCCACCCAGGAAATGGTACCTTTGAAGAAGGGGTCCTCCTTCCCACCAGAGCGGTTCAGGGGACTCTTTCTAGCCCCCCTCGCCTGTCAAGACAGATTTTAAAAATAAATATTTGAGGAGCAGCTTGTATGTGAAGCAACTATTTTTACCTACCCCTGCCAAAGAATTTTTTTTAATCATTTATTTTTTTTCAAAAGCTTGGAAAATTGGCTCTATTAGAACAGTGGAGGTTGAAGGTTAATGAGAGGTCAGCCCCTCCTCCCATTACTACCAATCCTGTGGATTTAGAAAAGAACAAATTTTTAAAACTACTAAGATGGAGGGCTATTTTTTCCCAACATCCTAACCAAATCTTATTTATTTATTTAATTTTAGGAACTCCTTCCTATGACTTTGGGAGATTTTTAAAGGTTGGGATTTTTTTGTTTGTTTTTCCTGTTCTCCCACCTCCCTGAAAAACTTTTTTTTTCTTTTTGAAATTAAAAGTGTGAAGGCCCTGCCCTACAAGGAGATGAGTGATTGCTGCGTTCTTCATACATCTCCAATTTTAGAATAAAAAGTTAAAGAATTGTCATCTACAAGATGAAATGAACCAACAATCTATCTTCATTCCTCCCCAAGAGAAACTATGAAGGCAGCTTTTCAAAAAATAACAATATTGGAAACGAAGTATAACAGGTGCCTTTATTCTGCCCCACATTTAAAAACCAAATGTGTTGGTTTTTTTTTTAATATTTCAAGATCAGTAAGAGACCAAAGAATTAAAGAATACCCCCTACCACTCCCCCCCCCAAAAGTTATTGTTTTCTAAATACCCTCTCTCCCTGAGGAGTTAATCTGTGAGAATTTGACATTCTGCAGGAGGAATAAAATTAAGAAACACAATAACATAGACACAGACACACACACAGACGCTCACACACGAAGTTAAGAGGAATCTTCTAGCCACTTCCAAGCCTTCAAAAGTTAGCGATTCATTAAAATAAAAAGTGGCCATTTCTCTTCCTGCCAACCTGGCAAGTATGTTCCTGGCAGAGATTTGGTCAGCCCTGCCAAAGCTGCTGGGATCAGTCATGGAAGGAAGGCAGCAGCCTGAGGAGCCTGGCAGAGCTGCAGCCCCCTGGGCATATTTGCTGCCAGGTAGCCCCCTCTACCTGCCTGCCCCTTAGCCACTGGGTGGCTGGGTCTTGGTTCCTAGAGAGATGCCTTAAGATTCTTGTCTCTCTGGCTTGGTCCATGGGTGGTGGTTTCTGGGCATGCCCTTGACTTAAAGCCAGGCCCCCTCCTCTGCCCAAGCCAAGCCTGAGGTCTGGTGTAGAAAAGAACTGGACCCAACATAGCATGGTGGCTCTGCTACCATCGCCCAGAGCTGCCAGGGTGTCAGGCCAACTGGACTGCAGTTAGTATGTGCCAGGCACCAGCTTGCCCCAGCCCTTCTCAAACTTGACCTCTTCTAGAAAAGAACTGAATTTGTAATTCATTTGGTCCAGGTTTGGGCCAGTGAGTTTATAGTTCCAGCAAGTTCCCAAGTGATGCTAATTGATGCTTGCCTAAGAACTACCTTTCAGAAGCCATTGCAATGAAATGCCAAGAGCAAGTATAGAAGTGCAGGAGGAAGAGGAAGAGCCCAGCAGGGCACTCATAGCTCGTGTCTACAATCCTAGCTTCTTAGGAGGGCTGCCATCTCTGAGATCTGAGGATCAAAGTTCAGAACCACCCAGGGAAACAAATCAGAGAAACTCTCATCTCCAATTAACAAGCAAGAATCCGCAAGTGTATGTGTGGCTCAAGTAGTAGAGCTCCAGCCTGGAGGGGAGAAAAAGCTGCAGGCAGTCAGCGAAGATTCCAGGAGGAGTAACACCCGCTTCCAGGCCTGTAGTAGCATCCTTCCTCTCTGGGTCTCAATCCGACAAGGTCTGTCTAGAGCAGTAATGAGGTCCTCAGACCTGAGTGCATTTGAGGGAGGAGAAAAACCTAGTTTACTAGTTTCTCAAAAGGCCTCACTGCCCCTCCCCCAACCTGGGCTGATGAGTGGCTTGTCTCCAGGCAGCTCTGGCCTGTGAAATCCTGTGGTCTTTCTCAGCCCTCTCTCCCTGGAACCACTGGACACCTTCTCCACCTCCCCACCACCCACAGGACAGAGTCCCAGAGCATCCAGACCCTCTGTAGATCTCAATCTCTGTCCCACACGTCCTAACCCGTGGAGGGGGTGTCCTTCCTCCACTGTGCCCAACTCGGCCATGAGGATATGCTAAAGACAACAACTGAACTTGGTGTCTTCCTGACAAAATCCAACTTATAATTGAACTCACAAACCACAGCAGAAACTGTGCAGTCATCCAGAGCTGATGGATCTCTTTTTAGAGTATTAACTTAGGGTAGATCCACAGAGAGCAAGGATCTTAACAAATTTTAGAATGTGGTGAGCATCTACCCAAGAAAGGGGCTAGGTACCCCCATGAGGTGGTCTATTGGTGCCCTGGGGTCTTCCTGGAACTTCTCACCTGCAGAGGGTAAGGACAGCAAGACCAGCCTGGTAAAGGGAACAAATCACAACCCATGGAGAGCTTGAAGGAGGGACCCTGAGAACTATCAGAAGAACTCTGAAGAAGGCTGAACTTTACAGGCAGAGCGGCCAAGGTTCTTTGTGAAAATTCAGGGTTCAAGAAAAGACCTGCACAGTGCTGGGTACATACTGGCAGAATGGCCTTTGAAAGCCAAAGCTCCCACTGGTGAACATACAGTCCAATAGGGACCTCTGAAAGTCCTCCCATCTCTGAGGTGCTGTGGTCCAACTTGATTTGCCTGAAATAGCCAAATTCAGAAAGCAGGTGACCTTTCTACACATCCAGCCTACTTTTCCCAGAACACTGGCACAGCATCATAATTAAGAGCCCAGAGAGGCACCCCCCCACCACCACCACCACGACAGTCAACCATGGCCTGCCTCACCTTTGTGAGGCATCTTCAAAATGACACTGACAATACCACTTGTCTCACAGGGGTGTTCCGAGGATTGTGAGAGACACATGTAAGTGTCTAGAAAGTGTGCCTAGCCTAGAGAGGGCACCCCGCATGTCAGAGCCGGTGGGAGTCTCATCTCTATCCTGTCTGGCTGTGTGCTCCTGGCCTCCTGCCTCAGTCTCTGGGCTTTCAATTCAGTCTCAGAAAAAATTGGATTCTTAAACTTGTACCAGCCCTCTCTAAGTTGCAACCAGTAAAAACAAAACCACACTAACAGAAAGTATGTATGTAAATAAATACGTTTTTAAAGGAAGATGTTATTTCATTAAATTGGAGAGAGGCTCCTGATCCCCAACATCAGGAAATGAGAAGAAGCTTGGAACCAAAAGCATTTCAGGAACTGGGCTTGCTTTCTCTCTCAAGACTGCAAGCCTGCTAACATCTCAGTCTCTTCTATTACCACTTCCTCTCCTTCCCTGCCTCTTCTTCCCCCTCCTCCTCTCTTTCCTTCCTCTCTCTTCTCCTCTCCCTTCTCCTCCTCTCCTCCCCTCCCTGTCTTCCTTTCTCCACCTCCTCCTCCTCCTTCATCTTCTTTCCTCTCTTTCTTTCTCTCATAGTATTTTCTTCTCTTGGCACACAGTCAAATTTATTGTCCAAAGTCCTACTAGTGCCAACAGGTACTGACTGGTGCTTCCTGGCATCCATCCAAACTCTCAAGAAAGACTGTGATTGGCCAAGCCTGTGTCAGGTGCCACAAGGATCATTTGTGGCCAAGAGGAGTGGATTGTTCCAGGCAAGAAGGCAGGGCCCAGAGCCTCCTCACATTGCCCAGATCCTGCTAAGACAGTTCCCCTAAGGAAGGAAGGGGTGTGGTGCTGGGCACCACTCAGACTCCTCCAACTGTACCTCCCTGTAGACCATGAAGACTCACTGAAATACTGAGCCCAGAGCTGACCCCAAAGCTCCCTCCAAAGCGTCTCTTCTGCTGGCCTCTGATGACATTTGGGAAAGTGTGTTGAGGAGGCTAGGGCTTTGTGGAGGGGCTAAGGGGCAGATGTCAAGTTGTTATGATACCCAGTCAGTGTTGGGAAATGAGGCCTTGGATCTCAAATATCAATTAGAGTCTTGGCTAAAACCTGGTGGGTGTACCTCGGTGAAGAAGATACCATTAAAGAGAAACAGAGGCTGTATAAAGGCTGATGTATAGAACAGAATAAAGGCAAGGACCTTGGGAACAGTGCCTTCTCTGAGTTGAGTGGCTTTAAGCCTGAAAACTTCAACAATTACTTTTTACCAACCCAGCCTGGGCCACGGGGGCTCCCAAGTCTCTCACAGTGGGAAAGAAGCTTGTAATCCAATCTTATAAATTCCTAGGCGATTTGTACAACAAATTGGTGTTTTCTCCTTGATGGACTACTTGGTGAGCAGAGGAATACATTCATCCCCCATTTTAAGGATGAT